GTCCGATCTCGGCTCGGGTTGTGATCACACAGTTGGTGGGTTCAAGCCCCGCACCAGGCTCTCTGCTGTCAGCACAGATCCTCTGTCCCCCTCTCTCTGCCCCTCCCCTGCTCTCTCTCAAAAATAAATAAACATTAAAAAATAAAATAAAACATTGTGTGTGTAGGAAAATAGCTTTCGGTGCTTTGCATCCATCCATCCATTCATTCGTGAGCCTCTTCTAGGTGCTAAACACAGTCCTAGGTACTGGGCTATCACACTGACCAAAACAGAGGGGCCTTGCCTTCGTGTATTTCTGTAGTGGGAGACGGATAAACAACTTAGGCAGTGGTAGGTGCTTTTGAGAGGAAAAGTAGAAAAGGAGTGGGGACTTGGGTGTTTGTGATTTTTAAGTAGGGTGAAGAGGGAAGACCTTACGAAGTGACGAGACTTCTAAATACTGGATTAAGGAAAACTTTGAAACGTTTGCCTCATTTAATCCTGTGCCAATGAGTTACAGAGAAGAGAGAGCAGAAGAGGAAAGTGAAGCTGTGGTAACAAAGAACCACTTTGCCCTGAGTAAAAATAGAGTGTTTGGTCAAGGAAAGGAAGTAACTTTTTTACTCTTTTCTGGAAAACTGAGGGCTTGTTTTCTAGCAAGTTTTTGAAGAGATGGTCCACTCTTGTCTGGTGGCGGTTAGATCTCATCAGCAGACATCACTTCCTGTGTCTTCAGACTCTCCTCCGAGTCCCGGATGCTGTGCTGCGTGCACAGGTGGCACGGCGGTGAGTGAGTGAAGCGGAGACTGCTTGGCCGCTGGCTCCGGGGACTGCCGCATCGAGCAGGTAGACGGGTCCCTGCCCTCCTGGAACTTGTTCAGTGGAAAGACAAACATGCATGGTTTCTCCATTCTTAAAAAAAGAAAAGAAAAGAAAAAGTCTCAAACACCTGCAAACATAATGACCCCCATATCTAACCCACAGCTGCAGTAATTAACTGTTTGCCAATCTTAGTTCATCTGTAAGCCTATACAGATGATTTTGTAATTAAAAGGTTTTATAGGGATGCCTGGGTGGCTCAGTCGGTTAAGCGTCTGACTTTGGCTCAGGACATGATCTTGTGGTTCACGCGTTCGAGCCCGGTGTTGGGCTCCATGCTGACAGCTTGGAGCCTGCTTCAGATTCTGTGTTTCTGTCTCTCTCTGCCCCTTCCCTGCTCACGCTTTGTCTCTTTCTCTGGCAAAAATAAATTTAAAAAAATAAATAAAAATAAAAGTTTTTATAAATGCCCAAAGGGAAAGGAAGAACATATATATTAGATTATCAATCATTATGTATGATTGAAATCAGTTTGAACCCAATTTCAAGACTACCTTTATGAGTTTAGGACCTGGGCACACCTTTCTCTCTCTCTCTCTCTCTCTCTCTCTCTCTCTCTCTCTTTCTTTCTTTCTTTCTCTTTGGCTAAGACTACAAGCATATGTGCAGGGTATGTTAAGTTAACAAGGATGTTTTCTATTAGTTGGGAACCTTACAGAAGCTAATTTGGTTGTTTACTTCAGGCATGTTTTCAGTTTACCTGCTTGCATATTGAATCCAACACCGTTACCTTCTGATGGTGAGGAATCTAATGACAGACTGGATTAAAAAAATCAGGGCACCATAAATGAGGTCCGGACTATGCCAGGGCTTAGGGGGTGGAGACCTAGGGATTTCTTGCGGGGGTATCCTGACTCCTTCTTAGATGGTTCCTTTGTCCTTTCTGATGGAGTCTCAAGCCAGAACATGATCTGGTACTCTGGAGGACCTGGACTTGGACCTTGGGGCTGATTGGACTCCATCTTAGGTTGACAGGGTAGGATCACCGTCCCTCACGCTTATGTGAACTGTGAGATTAATAAGAATTATAGGCTAGAATGAAATTCTGAAGTCTGACAGAAGCATTTGGTCACATTTGCCTTAATTTTCGTCATTCAGTTATTTCATGGGAAGACACTGAGGATCTTTGACTTGGTTTAAGATCGATTACGTATAGAAATTTTGGTTATGTGAAGGGTGACCGTATTCCCCAGTTTACTCCTTTGTCTCTCAAAAGTGACCCACTTTGAAGTTATATGATTACTCTAGCTATAGACTGTTTTAAAATTAGGAATTTGGGGCGCCTGGGTGGCTCAGCCAGTTAAGTGTCCAACTCTTGATATCAGCCCAAGTGATGATGTCTCAGTTCTTGGGACTGAGCCTCGTGTTGGTCTCTGCACCAACACCGCAGAGCCTGATTGGAATTCTCTCTCTCCCTGTCTCTCTGCTCCACCCTCTCTCTCAAAATAGGTGATTAAAAATAAACATTAAAAAAAAAAAAAGCCCACTTTCCTTCATACTATGAGTTCTCATTCTAATGAGAAATAAAGAATAATTGAGAGGGGGCCGAACAATACATCCCTGTTAAAAATTTAAAAAAAAAAATAGGAATTTAGTTATAGTGGATAATTTGCCGCAAAAACTAAGAATTTTTTCCCCGTGAAAACAATTTTTTTGTTTGGGGTAAAAATCCATTAATAGGGTTGTGAGGTATCTCACATAAATAAAAGCAAACCATTATTTGTATAGTCATAGAAATTTGCATTCCCATCCAAATTTAGAATCTTCGACTCAGTTAAAGTTTTTAGCCCTAGATCTGAACTGCTGTATTCTTTTGAAATTTTAGAATATTCTTTTGCCTGGAGACCCATTTGTATTTTAATATGATTGCCTTATAGACTTAGGAGAACCTTCAAATGAGGTTGAAGGTTCTCCAAATGAGGCTTGAGACCGTGATTTTGATGTTAAGCTAAGTGTACCAACATTTAAAACAAATGAATATTTCTCAAACCTGCAAATTTGGTAGTCCTTGTGACTTTGTATTTTTTTTTTTTTAAATAAGCGTTTTTGTTTTAAGTTTATTTTTGAGGGAGAGAGAGCACATGCAGGGGAAGGGACAGAGAGTGGGATACACGGAATCCGAAGCAGGCTCCAGGCTGTCAGTATAGAACCCAATGTGGAGCTTGAACCCACGAACTGTGAGATCATGACCTGATCCGAAGTCGGACACTTAACCGACTGAGCCACGCAGGCATCCCATGACTTTGTATTTTAACTAGTTGGGATTGCTAAACAAAAGTAAATCATTTATGGCAATGAAGACTGACAAGTGGAACTCTAGTTCGTTTATGTCACCAACTCTAGATTATTTTTCCTTATGTGAAGGGGAAAATGTTGAGAATAACTTGATTTGTTGGTCTCCAATCAAGCAATAGAGTGATCTGTAAGCACGTTGCAGTTGTAAATGCCGAGGGAGACCTTAATGGGTCACACACTGGGTGTTGCACATGCACATAATTTTGTCCTCTCGACAGCCTCTCAGTCAGCACTGTCTAGGCTGTGGGTGTCGAAACCGAGCTTACACAGCTAGGAGACAGTAGAGATTAGGGTTCAGAACCAGGTTATTGTGTGTCTTCGTTCTAGATGTTGAGTTCTGGCTTTATTGTTGTTTAGTTCTCAAAATAGTTTCTTTCCCATTGTTTAAACTCATCTTTTTGTTATTCTGTCTTTGATTTAGCTGTGTGTGTGTGTGCGCACGCGCGCGTGCATGCACAAGTGTTGTGTCGGGTTTAACATAACTGCTTTGTCATCGTGTCACCAAAAATAGTATTAAATAGCACATGGCCTCACATAATTGAAAATAAAGTGGATCATTGTATCCCAGGAATCCGTTAATTTGGAGTGGCGTATGAAGCTCTTTGGCCTGTGTTCTCAAGAAGGCATATAATCACTCCACAGTTACGTCTCGTGCTGGACGCTGTTTAGGGCCCTGGGGCCACATAGTGAGCATCATCGAGGAGTGTTTTTATTTTCCCATTTCTGGACTGCGTGTTTCTCGGGAATGCTGCTGCACCGCCGGTTCTGACTGACTCTGAGCTAGCTGTTGATTGGCCACTCTTCCAGCAGCAGCAACAGTGATCTTGAGCTGCGCAGGTGGAAATGGCAGCAGGAAGTGAAGTGGTCAGTGGTGGTAGGGAAAGTTCACCAGGGTCTCAGTTTCAAACGTGCAAAGATTTTAATCTAAGACAGAACCAAAGGAAATGAAATGGAGAATCTCACATACACGGTCTCAGAAAAATCAGACTTAAAGACGGACTGATTTCCCACAAACACTTGATTTACAGAAGATCAAAACTCATTCAATAACTAATGAGTGTCTGCCAAGAATCTCTCAAATGTCCCCTTTTGTACTCTGCCCACGAAAGCAGCCTGCCCTAAACCTTTAGTGGACCCCTCTGTAGCTCGCTGCGGTCTGCGTGTCCCAAATTGCAGCTCCTTTGCTATTCCCGAATACACTCAGTGTCTGGTGTCTTGAGCTTGTCCTCCTCTCTTTTAGGTTCACCTTGCATGGTGTCAGAAGTGGGATCTGAAGGTGCCAGCTGCGGGGGCACTGTGACTCCTGGGATCGAGCGAGGTACTCACATTTGAGCCTTTTGTGCTCTTTGCTTCTACGGAGTCACCATAACTTTCCGTTTGGTGAGTCTTCCCCAATGTCAGGCTCCCTTGTTTTGGTAGAACTCTCAGACTTTGTTCAGGATTTGTCGTACTCTTGTTCTTAATCTGATCATGGGATCCCAGTCATCTAAATGGTCTAAGAGTGGCCCCCTTTCAGGAACTCTGGCCAGTTTTTCTTTAAAAGATGATGGTCCTTCCTCATACCCGGTGTTGACAATATGGACCAGTCTTGCTAGAAAAGGTAACTTGGAGCCCTGACGGCCATTCTGGGAAACCTTTCATCTCTTCAGACTTGTTTTTCTCCCAACCGAGTTAGAAAATTAAAACAGTTCAAGTGGGATAGTTATTTTCGTTGGTATCTGAAGGTTTCTAAACGTGTTCAGAATTCTAAAATTGCACCTTTACAAAATATTGTTTCCAAAGTGACTGAAGCAAATAAACAACTAAAGGTGGATAAAAATAAAGTGTTAGAGGCTTCTTTCGTGGTGCTGGCCGAGGTTCCCTCCTACACCACCCCCCCCACTGCCCCACCTCCTTACACATCCCTCTTTGCCTCATCACCCTTCCCCTCTATCTGAACTTTCTTTCCTGTCACTGAAACCTCACCATCCTAACCCATTAAAACCTTTCCTTTCAAAACTGACTTTGTGAGGATGCTGTTAAACCACCCCAAATTTCCTGTACCCCATGGATAAAAAGCTGAGCTTAGGGCTATAATTAAGGTCTTTCCCAAGGTAACTGAGGATCTTTGTAGATTTGTGGAATTCACCAATCTGGGCTGTGGTCTCTGTCCGTTAGTTGACATGCCTCTTGGAGAAGGTCAAGCCCAGCGCTGGATGAATGCTGCTAGTTGGAAACCCCCTGAACAGTCTCTAGGGTTTAAACTAGACCAGCCGCCAGCCCTTTCACATGACCAAGCTTGTAGTGTATAACCACGAGGCTACACGAAGTCATCTGTGGGGCTAGCCCGTGGACTAGACTCAGATTCAGGCATGCACTCAGAAGCCAGCTGAATCCGTCCATGACTGTTACGTGACTGTCCGTGACTCCAAGTTGTTGTCAAGGAAATTCCAAGCTTCCCATAGATGTTGAGTCCACCCAGATGAGCTCTGACTCCATGTTTGTAAATGGGACTAAGGAAGGACTTAACACTGTTGATCCAAACAGCCGGTATGGGACAGGCATGGAGGCTCCACAGCGGGTGTGACCTGCAGGGTCACGTTAGCATTGCAGACAGTCTGCCCACTGGAGAAAGGGTTGCTCTAAATTGAAATCCAAACAGTTGCAGCCCCCCGAGGAGCAATGGCCAAAGCCACCCCAGTGATGGGACTCTGAGGACACATGGGGATTATTCCCCAGCCTTGTGGGAGGGAGACTAAATAGGATGGGAAGACTGCTTTCCAGATTGGGGACCAATTTTCTCACTGTATCAATTAACACAGGAACCACCCTGTCAGTGCTCAACCCCAAATTAAAGTGTCCCTTCTTTAGATAATACATATGTTCCGACAGCGGGGCTCTCAGATGAAGTACCATACGTTCCTGTTTCTTAGCCCGTATCCTTTCGTCTGGGACCTTTGCAAGACAACCAACCATTTCTTCTCAGTGATTTAGCGCCCGTACATTGATCTAGGATGAGCTTTCCCAGAGATACACATTGCCTTTTTTGTTCCTTTCCCAAAGCGGAAATATTCCTTGAGGTCAAATCCAGTACTCAGGAAAATTTCAGGGCTCTTTATTGCAGTCTACAAACCAAAGACGACCGAACTTTGGTCTACATCCCCTGGTACCCCCACTCTTTGGGCAAAGCCCTCAACAGACAGAGGCAGAATTCATAATGCTCCTCCCTTTAATAATCCAGATTGACCTCTCAAAACTTCTTCCAAGAATAAATCAACATCCTATAAATAATAAGAGGCCTGGAGCACCTGGGGTAGCTCAGTTGGTTAAGCATCTGACTTCGGCTCAGGTCATGATCTTGCAGTTCGTGGGTTTGAGGCCTGCGTCGGGCTCTGTGCTGACAGTTCAGAGCCTGGATCCTACTTCGAATTCTGTATTTCCCTCTCTCTCTGTCCCTCCCCTGCTCGTGCATTCTCTCTCTCAAAAATAAACATTAAAAAAAATAAGAGGCCTTATCAGGGTATAAGGTTTATCATAGATTATAAGAATTCGTTATCCTTTTGTACTAGTGCGTGTAATATCCCTATTTTACCCATAAAAAAACCCCTCTGGCCGAGGATGGAGATTGGCCCGGCATGTTAAGGCAGTAAACACTAATCCCTTCACCCTGTTGTCTCTGGTCCGTACACTGTTGGTTGCCATTGGATTCCAGACTTCTTTTTTCTTGTTTAAGGTTTATTATTTTTGAGAAAGAGAGAGTGGGGGTGGGGTGGAGACAGAGGGAGAGACCAAGGATTTGAAGCTGACGGTAGAGAGCCCAATGTGGGGCTCAAACTCTTGAACCCTGAGGTCGTGACCTGAGCTGAAGTCACACACTTAACCAACTGAGCCACCCAGGCGCGCCTGGATTCCAGACTTCTTGATGGCCCCTTTATGCCACACTCGAGAACACCAAACCTGATCCCATTGTTTGGGATGACCAAAGTGACTTCTTTAGGATTTTGAAGGAAGCTGGTAAGTCCACCTACACTTGGACACCCAAATTACCAGCTGCCCTTTTTCCTTTTTGTATGTGACAAGGAAGGGGACACCCTTAGACTACTTACCAAAAATGCGGAGTTGTCCCAGACTCCTAGGCTCCTGTAGCCAGCAGTTCGATCCACTGCCTGAGGACGTCCCCACGGCCTCAGAGCTCTGCTGCCACCATTCATACTAAAGGCTACTGCAGAGGGAGTCGGCGTCTTCCTCCACTCTTTATGCTTCAGGGCTATTGAGGCTCCCTTGGGTTCATACCACGCTCAGTGCCTTGCAGCGAGCTCTTCCCTCCTGTGAGACCCTCTTACTAACCGCCCCCCATGTCACTCTTGCTTACTGGAACCATCTCAACCCTGCTTTCCCTTCTCCCTCCTCCCCTGATGAAATTCCCCGTGACTCTCTGATTTGGACGGATCAGCTGGTGACCCCTTGTGAGGTGTTCCAGGAAGCCCCTTTGACAAACGTTGATCTTTCCCGGCTAACTGATGGCTCTTACCTAAGCTGTGAACATGCTGTATCCTGTGCTGGGTGTGTGATGACACTTCTGTGTGGGGCACGTGATAACAATTTTGAGGTTGGTAAGTCTGCACCTCTGCCTTTGGCTTCTGGAGCTAAACAAGCTGAATCACATGCCTTCACTGGAGCATGCATTATAGCCGAAAGCAAGACAGCAAACATGGATACTGACATCCAACATGCCTTTGGGGTGGCCCATGACCTTGGAATGGTAGGGAAACAACAAGGCTTCCTCACTTCCAGTGGAGGTAAAGAATGGCTCTTATTCCGGTAAAGAAATGGGCAAAAGACATGAACAGACACTTTCCAAAGAAGACCTCCAGATGGCCAACCGATACGTGAAAAAATGCTCCACATCACTCATCATCAGGGAAACACAAATCAAAACCATGACAGGATACCACCTCACACCTGTCAGAATGGCTAACACTAACTACTCAGGCAACAACAGATGTTGGCGAGGATGTGGAGAAAGAGGATCTCGTTTGCATTGTTGGTGGGAATGCAAACTGGTGCAGCCACTCTGGAAAACAGTGTGGAGATTCCTCAAAAAACTAGAAACAGAACTACCCTACGACCCAGCAATTGCACTACTAGGCATTTATCCACGGGATACAGGTGTGCTCTTTCTAAGGGGCACATGCACCCCAGTGTTTATAGCCA